GATTCCAAATTCAGCAAGTTGCTCTAATATTATTTCGCCATTCGCTACATCGAAAGCTGACTTTAGGTCAATAAAGGCTGCCTGTGTCCCATCCTGGGAGTTTACAAAGTATTCAGCAAAGCATGTTTGTGTGCTACACTTGGGCATGAACCCATATAGGTTTGGGGCCAGTTTTTCTTTGACCTGAAACATGACACGATTGAGAACAATTCTCTCCAAGACTTTACACATGCAAGATGTAAGGGAAATGGGTCTGAATTTTTGAGAGTTAGGTTTAGGAATTGGTATTATGAGACTTTGTGTCCATTTCTTTGGCAAGATACCTTGTGAGAGACTCATTTGATAGAGGTCAAGCAGAGGGTGGCTAGGGACATCATTCAGTAAGCTCAAGATGTTATAAGTTATACCATCCTCACCAGGGGCAGTTTGCCTAGGTTTTCCTAATGCTGATGTTAATTCAAAGGGGGTTATAGGAAACTGATCCGTTAAATCTGGTGAGGAGCGTGCTATTTCAATATTAAAGTTTCTGTTAATGTTGGTATGTCTTAAATGCTGCTGTATATCTGGGGGTAAGGAAGAAATTTGTGAGACACTAGACCATTGAGCCAGGAGCATGTCAGCATATTCTGCAGGAGTATGATGAAGCTCAACTGGGGCTGAAGGTTTGGTAATGTTTTTAATTTTGTTCCACATTTCTGATAATGTTGTAGTTCTATTGATACCTTGTAGGAATTGTTCCCAATATGTGTTCTTAACTTGACCCTTAAGCTCGCGAAAATCTCTGTTGGCATTAAGGAATGCAAGTAAATTGTCAGCTGTTTTGTCTCGTTTATAAGAGTCAGCAAGCTGAAGCACTTTAGCTCGCTCTGCAATAATAATAGGATCCTCTGTCCATGAGGAAGAACGAGTGTTCTTTTTTTTCCTTGATTTAACCCAGGTATCATAATAACTTGTAATGATACTGACAAGATCATTGTAAAAGTGGTCCACTGATACAGGTGTATACCCAGTGTACCACTTATGTACATAAGCCTTAAAGTGCTGTTTAAGATTGTCTGGAATGTTGGCTCTGGCTGTTGTCCTGCTGCTGCTGGCTCTGGCTGTTGTCCTGCTGCTGCTGGCTCTGGCTGTTGTGTCCTGCTGCTGGCTCTGGCTGTTGTGTACTGCTGCTGCTGCTGGCTCTGGCTGTTGTGTCCTGCTGCTGATGCTGGCTCTGGCTGTTGCGTCCTGCTGCTGCTGCTGGCTCTGGCTGTTGTGTCCTGCTGCTGCTGCTGGCTCTGGCTGTTGTGTCCTGCTGCTGCTGCTGCTGGCTCTGGCTGTTGTGTCCTGCTGCTGCTGCTGCTGCTGGCTCTGGCTGTTGTGTCCTGCTGCTGGCTCCGGCTGTTGTGTCCTGCTGCTGGCTCCGGCTGTTGTGTCCTGCTGCTGCTGCTGCTGGCTCTGGCTGTTGTGTCCTGCTGCTGGCTCCGGCTGTTGTGTCCTGCTGCTGCTGCTGGCTCTGGCTGTTGCGTCCTCCTGCTGCTGCTGCTTTCTCTGGCTGTTGTGTCCTCCTGCTGCTGGCTCTGGCTGTTGCGTCCTCCTGCTGCTGCTGCTGGCTCTGGCTGTTGTGTCCTCCTGCTGCTGCTGCTGGCTCTGGCTGTTGTGTCCTGCTGCTGCTGCTGGCTCTGGCTGTTGCGTCCTGCTGCTGCTGGCTCTGGCTGTTGCGTCCTGCTGCTGCTGGCTCTGGCTGTTGTGTCCTGCTGCTGGCTCTGGCTGTTGTGTCCTGCTGCTGCTGCTGGCTGTTGTGTTCTGCTGCTGGCTCTGGCTGTTGTGTCCTGCTGCTGCTGCTGGCTCTGGTTGTTGTGTCCTGCTGCTGCTGCTGCTGCTGCTGGCTCTGGCTGTTGCGTCCTGCTGCTGCTGCTGCTGGCTCTGGCTGTTGCGTCCTGCTGCTGCTGCTGGCTCTGGCTGTTGCGTCCTGCTGCTGCTGCTGGCTCTGGCTGTTGTGTCCTGCTGCTGCTGGCTCTGGCTGTTGCGTCCTGCTGCTGCTGCTGGCTCTGGCTGTTGTCCTGCTGCTGCTGCTGTTGGCTCTGGCTGTTGTGTCCTGCTGCTGCTGCTGCTGCTGGCTGTTGGGTTCTGCTGCTGGCTCTGGCTGTTGTGTCCTGCTGCTGCTGCTGCTGGCTCTGGCTGTTGTGTCCTGCTGCTGCTGCTGCTGGCTCTCTGGCTGTTGTGTCCTGCTGCTGGCTCTGGCTGTTGTGTCCTGCTGCTGCTGCTGGCTCTGGCTGTTGTGTCCTGCTGCTGCTGCTGGCTCTGGCTGTTGCGTCCTGCTGCTGCTGCTGGCTCTGGCTGTTGCGTCCTGCTGCTGCTGCTGCTGGCTCTGGCTGTTGCGTCCTGCTGCTGCTGGCTCTGGCTGTTGCGTCGTGCTGCTGCTGCTGGCTCTGGCTGTTGCGTCCTGCTGCTGGCTCTGGTTGTTGCGTCCTGCTGCTGCTGCTGCTGGCTCTGGTTGTTGCGTCCTGCTGCTGCTGCTGCTGGCTCTGGCTGTTGCGTCCTGCTGCTGGCTCTGGCTGTTGCGTCCTGCTGCTAGCCAACACTCGCTTACACTGTGTTTAACTTGTCTGTCGGGTATCAATGTCCCTGTGGCCCAGTTTTTGACATTATCTCCTAGTTGGTGGTCTGGCTAATCATAATATGTTTGACGTAGCTGCTCGCAGTCTCAAGTATGAGTCACAGCCTGGTTGATCAGGTATCCTTTGGCAATGTTAATCAAGTTGTCTCTTGAACACTGTGAGAGGCCGGCCAGTTCCGCCCCTTATGTGTAGTGGGAGAGTTGAGAAGTCTTGGGCCCCTCATGTTGATAGTTCTCTCTCCACCTTTGGTCTTCAACGGCGGCTATTAGCACTTATTATTAATTCGAGTGCTTAGGGTATGTAGATTAGATGCCCACCTCTGGTCTGGCGCCACGTGGTGATTGATCTTCCGAAGGGGCCGTTGATGGTTATCGCAATTGTTTGATAGAGATAACCATGCGACTAGTACAGAGATAACAGGGTGGATGCCAGCTCCTGGAACCACCAACAAGTCGTATAGACACACACACATCGTCCCGGAGAGGAAGAAATCACCGTATCATCACACTCGCCCATTGTGTGTATTTTACCTCAATAAAGTTATTTCAATTTCAAATCGCACGCGGTCCAAAATAATGGGCAGTGCTTGCTGCCTGCCCGTCGAGCAGTGCTTGCTGCCTGCCCGTCGAGCAGTGCTTGCTGCCTGCCCGTCGAGCAGTGCTTGCTGCCTGCCCGTCGAGCAGTGCCTGCTGCCTGCCCGTCGAGCAGTGCCGGAGGAGTGGAGAGTGTGGCGGGTCTGCCCACCCGGAGATTACTGCCAGCCCTCCCTTCTTCGGCTCACACATATGCAGATTTGACCAAGCTCGTAGTGCTTCGTCTTCCATATTAATAATGCAAGACAATGGCTCCTCCGCCATATGGAGAACTGCGAATAAGACCAGGTATTACGTTCTATGATTTTTGTAGTTTGTTTGTCTTTGGGCAAAATTTGTGTTGAAGTGCATGGGAGTAGGTGGGTTTGATGTGTACATGATGTGTGTGGGTACTCAGCCTAGCGCATGACCCCTCACTAACGTCAAGGTTCCTGCAATTATATCCACGAGTGAAACATTTTGGCCACTTTAAAGTGGTCGGACGCCAGCATTATGGTGATGAGTGCATATGTGAGGAATGTTATGTTAATCCTGCCATATTGTGAGGCGTGTGAGGGATGTTATGTTAATCCTGCCATATTGTGAGGCGTGTGAGGGATGTTATGTTAATCCTGCCATATTGTGAGGTGTGTGAGGGATGTTATGTTAATCCTGCCATATTGTGAGGCGTGTGAGGGATGTTATGTTAATCCTGCCATATTGTGAGGCGTGTGAGGGATGTTATGTTAATCCTGCCATATTGTGAGGCGTGTGAGGGATGTTATGTTAATCCTGCCATATTGTGAGATAGATTTAGTGTACTCACCTAGTTGTGCTTGCGGGGGTTGAGCTCCAGCTTTTTGGTCCCGCCTCCTAACTGCTGTACAAGTTCCTGGCTCTGGCTGTTGCGTCCTGCTGTTGCTGGCTGTTGCGTCCTGCTGTTGCTTGAACGTTGAAGAACAAAGGTGGAGAGAGAGAACTATTAACATGAGGGGCCCAAGACTTCTCAACTCTCCCACTACACATAAGGGGCGGAACTGGCCGGCCTCTCACAGTGTTCAAGAGGCAACTTGATTAACATTGCCAAAGGATACCTGATCAACCAGGCTGTGACTCATACTTGAGACTGCGAGCAGCTACGTCAAACATACTATGAATCACAGCCTGGTTGATCAAGTATCACCTGAAGGTGTTTAATCAAGTATTACTTTGAATGCTATGAGAGGTCCCATCTCTCCCGCACCCCCCCTCCCTATCCCATCTCAAAATCCTTATCCTGACCCACTCCAAGTGCTATATAGTCAAAATGGCTTAGCGCTTTCCTCTGATAATTCCCTCCCTCCATTTCACGTTGTTCTTATTGTTGTTTAAGATTCGCTACTAGGCACAAAAAGTTCCAAGTAGCACGGGCTATGGTGAACCCGTAGTGGACTTACCTGGCACAGGAGCGGGGCAAGTAGCACGGGCTATGGTGAGCCCGTAGTGGACTTACCTGGCACAGGAGCGGGGCAAGTAGCACGGGCTATGGTGAACCCGTAGTGGACTTACCTGGCACAAGAACGGGGCAAGTAGCACGGGCTATGGTGAGCCCGTAGTGGACTTACCTGGCACAGGAGCGGGGCAAGTAGCACGGGCTATGGTGAGCCCGTAGTGAACTTACCTGGCACAGGAGCGGGGCAAGTAGCACGGGCTATGGTGAGCCCGTAGTGAACTTACCTGGCACAGGAGCGGGGCAAGTAGCACGGGCTATGGTGAGCCCGTAGTGAACTTACCTGGCACAGGAGCGGGGCAAGTAGCACGGGCTATGGTGAGCCCGTAGTGAACTTACCTGGCACAGGAGCGGGGCTATAACTGCATGCATTTCTCGTATCTCCTCTTGCCCCTTTGTGCGTACTTTGTTTCCCTGATTTATTTAGCCACTTGGCTCTCTCCTCCTTTCTCCCCGTATTCTCTCTTATAATGAATTATAATGACTTATAATATATATATATATATATATATATATATATAATATTGTTGGGGTTTCCACCTCTCTATTATTCTCTACCCTTACTCTGGGGTGAGCAATAGTTATGCTCAAGGTAACTCACCGTAGCCCTGCGGGTCTTCCCTCGATCCTCACGGCGCCACTGCACGCCAGGAGAGTCTCCCAGTCAATCTTAACGGCCTCCTATTAAGAGTGAGAACACGACTCGTTCACATCGACTGTCGTGTGCCCTCCCCAACAATAGGGCTCTACGGTTATTCACAAGATCGCCAACTGGTGTTTAAGGTGGCCAGTAACACCCTCAGTGGACTGGTGTATTCAGTGGTAGCCTTGGCAAGGTCACACTCAAAGATCAGGAATCAGGCAGGTACTTGTTGTTATCACTCTATGCTTACAGGTATAGTATAGCCACAAGATCAATGGAGGGGATGATAAAAACACTAAGATAGTTTTGTATTTTACTTAAAATGTATGAAAGATGTCACAAAGCCAAACAACAACAAATAAATCAGCAAATCCTGACGCGGCCGGAAGTTCCCACGAATAGTCCGCGATCATTAGGTGGCAACACCTCCCCCTCCTCATCAAGTGTCAAGAACAGCTGATCGCAATGGACTCTCCGCGCGAAATTTGCTTGTTTGCTAGATTCACGCGCGCGGTTTCTTTAAATTCTCCAATATTACTAGAAACTCGCACACTCTATATTGGCACAAATAAACCGAATTACTTAGTTACACTGTACTCAGGCTCAAACAGTCTTTTCTACAATCAATTCTACAATGATTCACTGTAATGGTCTTACACTGTTATTTATCCAACAATATATTATGAAATATTAACACGGGAGTTTTCAGTACTTTCTCTCGAGGGCGATAACGCAATAATTCACTGTACTCACAAATGATTATTCACTGAATGAACATAGACATATATATGGTATATAAATCAATCATCAATACATGGAAAATAAATAGTTTCTGGGCACATAGCCTAACCTCCAAATACCGGCATAATATTATATATAATTTACCACTATATGTTCATATCAAAATCTATAGAAAGATATACACAACACAGTAAATTTATCACTGGTTCCTGGTGTCTGTACACACCAATAATCAACGTGAATAATACAAGTACTCTTGATAGTACTGTCTAGCACACTGGTGCTTTACCGTGACATAGGTGAGACTTGCTCACGACATATAAAATCTTCAGGCTAGATAATATAGCCAAATAATATTGCTAACTAAAGGGGAATGGGGAGGGAACTAGAACCACCTACTTCACCCTATCCTCCGATGAGAGTCGAGATGTAGCTCCTGGTCCTCGTGTCGGGAACGCCCCCACACTACACGTCGTGTCCTACCAGAGCCTCTCGTCGTCCCACCGTTTAGCGCGTCGTCTCCGTGCCTCCTCACTGCAGGTCCGTCCTCCTCCTTGACTTCTTGAAGGGTTGGAGTCGGTCTCCTGGCCGTCGTCTTCTCCCAGCAACGGCTGTTGCCTACGTCTCAGCTCCAGTCGTTCGGTTTCCCCAGATAGTCCTCTCTTCCTCAGCTACCCAGTGGCTATGTCAGCCACTACGCTGTCACGAACTGGTGAATTGCCACAGACGTCACGTACGTCACTACACGGCTTCACTGCTACTGGCACAGTACCTGACTGGAGCACTTGTTGCTCAAATAACCGTCAATTCCCTCTTCTGGTTCAACACATGAACTAGGGAAGACTTCTCAGAGCACTGGCGGACTTCAGATGACGCGTAAATCCACGGGAGCGAGGTACAACTGTCCTACTGACAAGACCATCCGTCGCACGTCCGACCTCTATGACGTGTTGTATCTGACTGCTGGCGCCAGCCCGGCGCGCTGGCCGGACCCCCTTCCTTCGTGACGTCACTTTCGCCACGGGAGGTTTTCATTGGCTCCCGGTGCCACACTGCTGTCGGTGACCAATCCGGTGCCACTGACGTCACACGGTTTTGGCGGGAGATCAGGGAAGCAAGCGCCATCTTGGCTCCCTAAAGGGCCTAAACCACAGGCCAAAATATTACTATTTCACAAATTTCTCGGCTCTCCGAGAACACTTCACTCTCTCCCATATATCGAATTGTAGCCTGCAACGTAGAGAACGCTTGGGAAAAGTAGACATGACTCTTACTGCAGGCGTGGGAGAATTATAAGGGGGGGAACTCCGTCACAATATATATATGTGTGTGTGTATATCACGAAAATAAACACGTGATAAAGAATGTGACAATGTCAGACCACGGAGGAAAATGAAACAGGAATTTCCTTAAGTACTTCATTCCTTCTGAAGATGTATTTAATATACGAAAGTACTTAAGGAAATTCCTGTTCCTGTTTCATTTTCCTCCGTGGTCTGACATTATCATATATATATATATATATATATATATATATATATATATATATATATATATATATATATATATATATATATATATATATATATGATAATGTCAGACCACGGAGGAAAATGAAACAGGAACAGGAATTTCCTTAAGTACTTTCGTATATTAAATACATCTTCAGAAGGAATGAAGTACTTAAGGAAATTCCTGTTTCATTTTCCTCCGTGGTCTGACAGTCACATTCTTTATCACGTGTTTATTTTCGTGATATACACACATATATATATAATATATATATATATATATATATATATATATATATATATATATATATATATATATATATATATATACATAAAAAGACAACGTTCCAGATCATCCTAGACTGTGTTCAAGACTTAACTAAGAACCAGTGGAAGCTGGAGTCATTATAAGAGAGAATACGGGGAGAAGGGAGGAGAGAGCCAAGTGGCTCTCCAAGTGGCCAAGAGCCATATATAAAGAGGTTTGTGTGTTTATTGAAGGCTTTTTTGTATGTACTCTGATGTGTGTTGCAGGCTGTGTTTGGTGTGGGTTGTACGTGTTACTGGGGAGTGTTTGTGTTGTAGGCTGTGTGGGAAGAATTAATGCGGAGAAAATATAGACGCATGACCAAGAGAACAACTGGAAGACAGTGTTGCGAAGAAAAAGTAATAATGAGAAGAGAGAGGAGGCGGCGGCGGAGAGAAGAATATCAACCCTGAAGCAAAATGAGGGTAAGGAGAAGGGTAATACACGAGCAAGAACCGAGAGGCGGAAATCCGTCGAGTTATAATGGGAGTGCCAGCCGTCGTGTGTTGCAAGATGGCTCCCTGTGAACACCAGAGGCACACGCCTCTACAACATCTTCGAGAAATACTTTCTCAGCAAAAGACGATGTTTTCAAGAGGCGATTGGACAAATTCCCGTGGAAGTGGCGGATTAGCCGGGGTTGTAATGGGTATGTGAGGAAGCGGGACGCTACAAGCAACAGCCTGACTGATCAGGTTACCATCAAACTCGCTTGGCCTTCGGCCTGTTGGACTTGAAACACTACAGTATTGTTCTTATAATTGTTCTTACGCTTGGATCGTAAGTCCTGTGCCTGAGGATCAGGATCAAGGAAGGGGTGGGATTGTTGGTCACCAGGCCGTATGATCAACCAGGCTGTGTATCGTTCGTCAGCCTGCGAGCAGCTGCGTCCAACAGCCTGGTTGAACAGTCAAGCAGCGAGTAGGCCTGGAAGAGGACCGGGCCCCGGGGAAGCTAAACCCCGAAACCACCTCAAGGTATCCTTGGCAGAAGCGGATTTTTCTGAGTAGACAAAATAGGACACCACGAACCTTCAATATGATGTAAAGTAGGTCTTTCAACGGGCTACAGACAGTAATATATTTAAAGACTAGTAGTTCCAGCTCCTGCACCATGGAGAAAATGAAAATATAAAAACGGAAACCACGTCAGTCAAATCATAACATAGAACGAAAAGACAATGTAAAGGATCTGGGTGTACTCATGTCGGAAGACCTTACCTTTAATGAACGCAATAAAGTAGCCGTCACAACTGCAAGAAAAATGACAGGTTGGATAACAAGAACTTTTCACACTAGAGATGCTATACCGATGATGATACTTTTCAAAACGCTTGTGCTCTCTAGAGTGGAGTACTGCTGCACAATGACAGCCCCTTTCAAAGCTGGAGAAATTGCTGACCTGGAGAGCGTGCAGAGATCCTTTACTGCTAGAATCCACTCAGTAAAACATCTAAATTACTGGGACTGACTAAAGAGCCTAAATCTGTACTCCCTTGAGCGCAGGCGGGAGAGATACATAATAATTTACACGTGGAAAATATTAGACCTTACCTTGCGGTTACCTTGCCATGATTTCGGGGTTCAACGTCCCCGCGGCCCGGTCCTCGATCAGGCCTCTTCGTTGCTGTACAGGTCAACTAGGCTGTTGGACGCGGCTGCTCACAGCCTGGTTGATCAGGTATCCTTTGGGGGTGTTTATCAAGTTCTCTTGAACATTAAACTGCTAAACAGTTTTATCTTTATCTACCCTGTCAATTTCTCTGAAAATTTTATAGGTAGTGATCATGTCTCCCCTAACTCGTGTCTTCGTGTCGTGGAAAGACATGACACCGCTTGGGCACCCTGTCAGGCAATCCATCATGACACACTTCCCTTGGCTGTCATACACTCTCAGCCCTGGAGGCTCGGCCACACCGGAAGGACCGCCTCATAAAACTGTCTTTGAGTATTGGACGCAACCCGGCGTCGCTGTAATGCCTCATCTCTGCCCTCTCATAAACAGCCCTCGCTGACAGCCCTCGCTGACAGCCCTCGCTGACAGCCCTCGCTGACAGCCCTCGCTGACAGCCCTCGCTGACAGTCCTCGCTGACAGCCCTCGCTGACAGTCCTCGCTGACAGTCCTCGCTGACAGCCCTCGCTGACAGCCCTCGCTGACAGCCCTCACCTG